TCAATTCGTAAACATCATTCGCGTATTTTCGCTTTAGATAGGGTAGATCGCCAATACATCGTAGGTGGCCATTGACCATAATGGCCACACACTCCCCTAGCGCTTCAACCTCCTCCAAGTAATGTGTCGTGAGCATGATTGAGCAATGCTTGGAAATACATTTCAAAGCTTCCCAAATCGACCGCCGCGCGATCGGATCAACGCCTGCAGAGGGCTCATCTAATAAAACCACCTTCGGAGCGCCGATCAGCGCGAGTGCGAGGCTGAGCTTCCGACGATTCCCCCCGGATAAATGGCGCGACTGCACATTTTGGAACCTTTCCAACTTAAACGCTTCGATAAGAATCTGCACGAGATCCTTATGCTTGCTTTGCGGAATCCCCCGCACGAGGGCATAGAAGCGAATGTACTCATCCATCGTCATGGTATCAAAGCAGGTATCAAACTGTGTGCAATACCCTATACAACTCAACGCGCGGGCGCTATCGCGAACGACGTCATGCCCGCAAATATACGCCCTCCCGCTTGTTGGTAAAAGTTCCTGTGTAAGAATCGACATCGTCGTGCTCTTTCCCGCACCGTTCGTTCCCAAAAAGCAGAACACCTCGCTCGGCATCACGCTAAAGGACAGGTTTCGCACAGCCACGTTACCAGTTGACGCGTATCTTTTTCGAATATCTACCAAACGTACCACATCCATGTTTGAATGTTTTTCTTCTTCATTGTAAACCTCGAGTCGCTCGAGCTCGACGTCGCTGTTTTCCTCCATTTCACTTTCTAAGTCTTCCGAATCGAGATTGGAGGCCGAATATATCCGTTGAGTTCTATGGAAGGATTTCACCTGATAAGACCTTTCCAGCGCACTCGTTCTAATCGGCTCAGACGAGCCCTCCGAAATGCTCGAATCCGCTATTCGAATGTTCACGGGGTGCATCGCATCGGGAGAGTCCTCTTTGTTCGTCCTTTGGTAGGATAGCTCAGGCATCTTCTGCGTACCCATGTGGCTTCTGGTGGCTTTCTCTGCTACCTTGTTCCTTCCCATACTTGATGTTTTCGGAATACGATTCCCCTCGATGGATAAACCTCCCTGAGAGTTTTCCGGAGGCTTCACCAGTTGTTGCCTGTTCTTAGAATGCTTAGTTGTTGTTTTTCGACGGCAAACCCGAAAGAGACCATGTGCCGTCTCGATCAGATGTCTTCGCCTCGGGTGCTCCCACAGGAGGGTGATTAGACCCGCCAACGCGACCTCTGCCGCCATGTAAACATCCACCCATCCCGTTGCTTTAAGATCCCACGGGTTGAATGAGTCGTCGTCATATAAAAAGGCTGATATCTTGAAGTGGATGATAACCTCACTGACCGCATAGGTAGGGATCAGCCGGAGGCCCCAGCGCATTTTATCCGCAAAATCCACCGTTTGGGGTAGTAAACCGAGCACAGAGACGGTCATGATCCCGACGAATCCGGCTAAAAACCCGATCCCGATCACCGTCACCTGCGCCGAGGTTGGTTCGCGAAAGGCGAAACCGATCGCATAGCCCCCCACGCAGCAGCAAAGCCCGTAGAGCAGCAGCACCACAACGAGGGCGGGCAGGCGATTCCCTTCAATCATGCTCTTCTCCCCACACACCACGAAGACGCCTACAATCAGTCCAGCAGACATCACATATACAACGAAGTCGAAGAGGAAGTTGCCCAGCCAATAGGCTGAGGACCTCATACTGGAGACTTTCTGTAGGTGACGCGCGCGGATATACCGCTCCCGGACCCCCCACTTCACCGGATTTGACGGCATAAACGTAAACGGAATGGTCAAAATGACCCCGATTAGGACTGCCTCGACTGGGCTTTTAAGATCTGGCTTAGGCTGATCCCCCACAACAGCGGTTACCCGCGTGCGAAAAGTCGGCATGTGCGGCCCATTGTTGCCGAGGTTCCCAGCCTTCTGCAGCCCCACCCCATAGGCCACCATTTGCCAGATGTACTGGGCGAAGGGCAGGCTGTGTCGCGAGGAGCTGTTGTACTGTAATAGGTGGATAGGGTTATTCAAGGGGAGGATCGTTTGGATCGCGAGGGCTAAAGCAGGGTCTTGACAGTGAAAGGCGGCGTAACGCGTGAAGGGGTGGACGGACCAGGTGTCCTGGAGATAGGACGACATCTCCTTCGCGTTCTGGAAGTTTGTACGCACCCATAACACGTCCTTAGAGCCGCCCCTTAGCGCGTCAAAGAAATCCGCATTGAGGTCGAAGATGTTCTTGAAACAGTTGGCGAATTGGATTTCGGTGGGATAGTGAAACATACTAGGGTGAAACTCTAACGAACGGGTGTGTCTAATGTCGATGAATCCTAACAGTAGTACAAACAACACGCACAAGGCCGGGAAGAACACTTGTACCATCACCATGTGGTAATCGCGTATAAAGCATAAAGTACGTCGATAGAGCACCGCTTTAAACTGAAGATATAAGAGCGTAAGGGAGGAGGAGGTTTTGGGAATGTCCCAAATACTTGCCAGCGCACTGGCGACGTGCTCCCCGTTTTTTTTGAGATTTGCACACTCACCTCTGATCCTGAGGAGCTGAGGGTTGTTGGGGGGACGGTTCCACTTTGTCCTTTTTTACTGGCTCTTGGGACATTTTCCTCTTGGATCGGTACATTCCCCTTGCACCAATCTTGATTCAGAGAGAGAGGGTTTTTCTCAGAGGTGACGGATGGCGTTGCTGACATCCCTTGCTGCACTTTAGCGGGTTTAGCATGAGGCTTTCCCTTAACAACTTCATTATCCTTTTGATGCAGGTGAGTCCTCACGTTGCTCGGATGTCCGTTATCACTGCGGGCTTCAAGCATATTCATAAAGACATCTTCCATCGATGGAGCTACCAGGGCATAGCTCCGAAGGCCGATTTCCTTTTTTTCAATCCTCTCCAGGTACCTTAAGAGTTTCGGGATGTCGTTTTCATGCCCATTCGGGATGCGGAAGGTGATCTCGCGGTCTGTCTGCGATGTGCAATACACATCGCACATAATATTTTTTATCATATTAGTCAGTCTACTCCACGTTTCTTTCAGACAATTTACTTCCCGTTCTGCACTAGTAACCAATGAATCGTTTTTATGAATGGGTGGGCGATCGAAGGGGAGTAGATTCAAGCGTAGGGTATAGCCAAAGCCCGAGTAGGAGCGCAAAAAGAGATTACTCCCGGCACATGTAAGTTTTCCATTCGATAAAATTCCAACATGGTCGCCGAGGAGATCCGTCTCATCCATGTAATGTGTGATGAGCAAGATCGTTCGTTTCGCCGACATTGCGCGTAGAAGAGACCAGATGTGTCGACGCGCCGTAGCATCCATGCCTGCGGTAGGCTCATCCAGCACAATCACTCGATTTTGTCCAACAAAGGCAATCGCCACGCAGAGCTTGCGCTTTTGCCCCCCCGAGAGCATCGAGATGTGGAAGTCGATTTTATCGGAAAGGTCGACCGCGCAGAGCACGTCCCAGATGGCGTTTTCCACCGCTGCGCCTTTCAAACCCTTGATCTTCGCGAAAAGCTCCAGATGCTCACGGCAGGTCAGGTCCGGCCAGAGGGTGTTGAGTTGCGGGCATAGGCCAATGCTAGCGCGCACCCCACTGGTCTCCTTTGTTACAGAGTGGCCATTCACAATACAGTCTCCCTTATCGGGCTTTGTCATGCCCGTAATGATGCCCACGGTGGTGGACTTGCCAGAGCCGTTTGGCCCCAAGAGAACGGACACCTCCCCTTGATAGAGCACCCAGGAAAGGGAGTCAACCGCCACCGTACGGCTCTTGCCACGGGAGTAGGACTTGCGTACCTTTCTCAGACGAATAATCGGTTTTTTAGGCCTTCCTGTCATCGCGTCGATGCCCACACTCGGATCCATCAAAGTTGTACCGCGCGGATCATCGTCGTGGTCGTCATCACCGCTCTCTTCCTTTTCGTCTGTGCAATAACCGAACCTCCTCTTCAATCGCTTAACAACGGGTAAGATGAAAAACAAAGGGTGCTTTGGCATGCTTCTCTCATAGGGGAGCACCGCATCCAGGTAAAGCATGAACAACAGATAGATGGGGAAATCCATTGCGATAATGAGAATCACCTTGTATGGGAACGCGTCAAAGAACGGGTTTGTAAAATCATTCATGGTGAAGCCGCTTCCACTTTCACGTTTGAGAATGGATGGCAGTAAGTTTGACATGCCTGTCGGTGACAAGAATGAAAGTGCAAGTAGCCCTGTTTCGCTGAGACCATGTATTAAGAAATTGACTACGGCCAGGATAAAATAAAGCATCGGCGCGAATAGAGATGCCACACGACAATTACTGAAGAGCGTAGAAATCAACCCTGCAAGTGGGATTAGCGTGCATGAATACACAAGCAAAGTCATGAAGATTATAAGTGGGTTGGTGAGGGTTAAGGCATGAAGACAAAGCACAAAGGTCATTAAGATGCTGATAAGGAAGTATTCTAAGAACGAGAGGATAAAATAACTGATCCACATCGAGTGCCGCATCGTGCCCATGACGAGCATCGTTTGCTGAGTCTGCAGTTCTTTATCCAAAACTAGGCGTTTAGTCATTTGTGTGAACGGGTAGATGAATGCTAAGATGATGGCTAAGGACATCAGTGTTCCTGCAAACTCGACTAAGAAGTGCTGTTCGTTTTTTATGTCTGGAAAGGAAACCATAATGGGTATAATTTCGCTAGGGGAAAAGTCACTTGGGATAAGTCCTCTAGCATGCTGTTTGTATATAAAGTAGTCGTACAACAACTTTTGAATCGTAATATACCCTGACATCATGTACATTTCGGAACCCTCGGGGGAATAACCACCACGGTAGTTGAGTGTTACAACTTGGTTCAGCGCCGGCAGAGATTTGGCATTGAGTTGAATATCGATGTCGAAACCGTTAACAAGATCATTTATTACAATGAGTGCCCATGTTGGTTTTTCTTTATTATCCTTCCAAAGCTGCCGCCTAGCCTCATCAACGGTGTCAAAAGTGCCACCGTAAATATACTTAAAGACACCCGAGCTTGCTGAGATGAAATTGATCAAGTCATTCGGGACATTGTGCAGAGGAGCCATGTACAGATACCCTGAATTGCATAGCGAGTCGATGTGCGTGGATGTTTCACTTTCCAGAGCGATAGCGAACTTCCTCATCAACTTATTATATGAGGTGCTCAGGCACATCCCAGACTTCTTCGCGAGATACTGATGTATGACGACTTCATCCAGCGAGGGGGGTGTTCTAGGCTTTCCCTTTAACGAAGCGATATAGTAGAGCATTTCAGTTTCAATATTAATATTGGATATACACAGTCCTTTCACGGGAATCGAGGATTCGTCCCCACTACAGTCCAATTTCGTATTCTTGATGTCATCGCAATCCACAAGAGTGTGGATAGGATACCCACTCGAGTATTTGCTGCATATCTAGTTGTTTGACTGTAGTAAAAATAGACGAGGTCATCCAATGTTAAGTGGCTCTGTTCGACAATGTCCCCCGTACCGAGCTTTACATCAAGAAAAATGAGAGCAATGGCGAAGAGAATGGGCACCACAACCTCCAGGATCATGAACCACTTGGAACGCCTGAACCGTCGTAATGTGCACTGTAAAATAGCCAAAACCTGCTCCAGCGTCTTGCGTTGACGTGGTCGGTGGGGCCTTTTGGCATGTGGAGCCGCTCGATTCCCATCACCGAGATTGTGAGAAGAGGTGACGTGGTCGTGTGGTGCGCGAGAAGGTGCGGCGCATGAATGGGGGCTATTGCAGGATAGCACCAAATTCCTACCCTCACCTGCCTTTAGTGGAGTCGATTTGTCGATGCGCTTTGACTGGTTTCCATTTCTGGAGGGCCTAGGGAAATTCGTGCTGAACCTCTGATTTCCAGTGAAACCGTTTGTGTCGACATTCATAGTGGGAGTATGTGTTGATCGTTCGTGACGTTCAAACTTGTGGCTGGATGGGGTGTATTGATTTTTTATTGCTTCGAATAGACGAAGTTGTATAAATCTTCTCTATTATATAATTCAATTCCTGATTTGATCTTTTGAGAGCCAACCTCTGTAGTCACACACAGAAGGGGCAAAGTCAGGAAACTGAAGTGTGTCACTTGG